CGATCCCCTCCCCCTAGGCCTTCAACTCACTATTGTCTGTGTCCACAGGTTGTGCATATATGCATATAAATTCTTATTTTAACCTCCCCCCCCAGATTTGTCAGTCTGTTCCATGCTTCCATGTTTCTGTATCTCTTCTTTTTATCGGTTTATTTTGTTCATTAGATTCCACATATGAGTAAGATCATGTGACACTTGTCTTATCTGGGCCTATTTAAAAACCTGTGACCTTCTAGGGCTGTTATCTGTTATAAAGATAAAAGAGTTAATATGCCCCCAAGGGAGCTTAGACCAGGGCCTGGAACTTCTAAATGCTCAGTAAATGTTAGCTACTTACCAGTTGTTATTTAATCTTCATCACGGCTCTGGGAGCCAAGCTGAAGAGGCAGTCTCATAGGGTGATTAAACACCAGGCAGCTGAATCAGACCACCTCGAAACAGATCTAGGCTTACTGTACCTACCTTGGACAGGTTGTTTAACTGAAGTCCTGTTCATAAGTTGATAAATATGAAACAGTTTCTTGTACATGGTAAGCACTCAATAGGTCTTAGCTGTTGTTATGCACCACATTCCTCTGATGACAAAGGCTCAGAGAGGTAAAATGACTTTTCTAAGATTATACAACTACGAAAATGTGGGAGCAGGGGGTAGCTTTACTCACAGCTTTAAGACTACTTACATATTCTCTGTACTGTAATGTCTTCCAGGCTCTTTCTTTTTTTTTCCAAAGGGAGCCTCATTTATTTCTTTTTTCCCCCCATTTACGTAGTTCTGAATTTATTTATTTATTATTTATTTTTAATTTTTTTAAATTTTATTTTTGTTTAAAATATTACAGATGTCCCTTTTTCTCCCCAATGACCCATTCCACCCCATCCCTTCCCCCTCCCCAGTCCCTCTCCCCACCATTGTCCATGTCCTTGGGTTGTGCATATATGCATATAAATTCTTTGGTTACTCTCTCCCCCTCCACCCACCCGCCCTCCTCCATCCCTCTGACATTCATCAGTCTCATCTATGCTTCCATGTCATTGAATCTATTCTGTTCATCAGTTTATTAAGTTCTTTAGATTCCACGTATAAGCGAGATCATGTGATATTTGTCTTTCGCTGCCTGGCTTATTTCACTTAGCATAATATTCTCCAGGTCCATCCATACTGTCCCAAAGGGTACGAGATTCTTCTTCTTTACAGCTGCGTAGTATTCCATGGTGTAAATGTCCCACAGCTTTTTTATCCACTCATCTACTGATGGGCACTTGGGCTGTTTCCAGATCTTAGCTATTGTAAACTGTGCTGCTATGAACATCGGGGTACATATATCCTTTCTGATGAATGTTTCAGGATTCTTAGGATACATTCCTAGGAGTGGAATCACTGGGTCAAACGGCAGCTCCATTTCTAATTTTTTGAGGAACCTCCATACTGTTTTCCACAGTGGCTGCACCAGTCTGCATTCCCACCAGCAGTGTACTAGGGTTCGTTCCCCTTTCTCCACACCCTCGCCAGCACGTGTCGTTTGTTGATTTGTTGATGGCTGCCACTCTAACAGGTGTGAAGTGATTAAAACCTCATTGTGGCTTTAATTTGCATCTCTCTGATGATTAACTACNCTCTCCCCACCATTGTCCATGTCCTTGGGTTGTGCATATATGCATAGAAGGTCTTTGGTTAATCTCTCCCCCTCTACCCACCCGCCCTCCTCCATCCCTCTGACATTCATCAGTCTCATCTATGCTTCCATGTCATTGAATCT